CTGAAAAGAGTGGAAAAAATATCCTTGGGTGAGGATTTAAAAAAAAAAAGTATTGAGAAGACCTTGGCCTTTTTTAAGGGTTGGGCCTAAGTATGGTATGTGAGGTGGGTGGTGCTGAATGTGGCCTTTTCTCCAATGTACTCATCTCATCCTTGCAATTCTTCCTTAACAAAAGTACTGTAGGCTGTGTCCACCCTCCACTTCCCTTCTTTACCTCCCTTTGATTCTGATCCCTTTGTTTGACTACCCTTATCACTGCTGTCACCATCAGTGGAGGCAGGACAAGAAGAACTAATCAGCCCTGGCCAGTGTGGCTCAGTTGGTTGGATCATTGGCCCATGCACCAAGGGGTTGCAGGTTTCATTCCCAGTCAGGCACATACCCAGGTTGCAGGTTTGATCTCTGGTCAGGGTGCATACGAGAGGCAAACCCCAATAGATGTTTCTCTCTCACATTGATGTTTCTCTCCCTCTCTCTCCCTCCCTCCCTCTCTCTTCCTCTCTCTCTCAAATCAATAAAAACATGTCCTTGGGTGAGGATTAAAAAAGAAGAACTAATCAGTGTCAGTGTCCCATTTCATATTCCTGATTGAAGCTAAACTTCCTTTTGCCTCTGCTAGAAAAAAACAACCTGAGAGTTGGTACTGACTTGGAACAAAGAAACTCTATTGATCTCCCATCAGGGCACATACCAGAATCAACCAATGAATGCCTGAATAAGTGGAACAGCAAATCCATGTCTGTCTCTGTTTCTGTCTCTCTCTCTCTGTCTCCTTCTCTCTCCACGTCTCCTTCTCCCTCTCCCTCCTCCTCTACCTTCCTCTCTCTAAAAATCAATAAATAAATAAAATTAAAAGGGGAACTCTATTATTCAACAAGCCACTGTTTCCCTCTCTTACCCTTCAAGGAGAAAAAAGCCCACTAACATGGAGAAAAGCCCAGAGGCCGACCTTTACTTCCCATCTGAACTAAAACTCAGTAGCTTCAAACTCCCATTCCTTAGTCCCAGTTGTTCAGTCAGGCAGTACCTGTATTGACTACATATCTGCTCTGGGTAAGGCACTGAGCTAGGAGTGTCACCTGATTTTGACCAAACAGACACCCAAGTCCAGGGGCTGACCAGGTCAGTTTCTAATGGAATTCTGGTACCTTGAGTTTAGGAACTATCTCTCAGTGATTCTAGACTTTTTTTGTATCTTCTTGTCCAGGAGAATGTAAAAAGGGTCAGGAAAATGGCTCCACTTTATGGAGATTGGAGCCCATTAAGGGACAGTGGCCTACAAAAAGCAGAACTCAAACTCTGCTCTCGGAGCTTTGACCCTCCTCACCAGCTACCTAGTGGATGGGAAAGATTTCACCATCACACTCATCATTTTAAGATGTTCTTTAAATCTGTCATCTTACAGACATTCATTTATGGGTAGAACATTTATCCTGTACCTGGTAAATAAAACAGACCTTTAAATATGTGCCTTTCTACTAAGTTCAAGACATTGTTCCAGTATTTGAAAGCATTAAACCTTTTTCTTCCTTTTTGCTAAGTTCTACCTTGTTGAATGTGCACCCGAATTCTCTGCCCAGCATACACTTGAGCTTGCTTTTCCTGTTTCCAAGTGCAGCAGTTTCTAAGCAGTTGCTGCCAGCTAACCAGCAGTGTCACCAAAGGACGGCAGCTGCACCCTCTTCCTTCTAGCACACTCACTAGCCTACTTCTATTCCAATTGATGCCCAGTGACGTGATTCTGAAATGAGGTGTCCTTGAGCCAAGCCAGCTGAAGCCACAAGCCGAGCATTTAGTCAGCTTAGTCACTGCTCTGTATGGCTGCCTTCTGCAAGGGGAGGAAGTAGGGAGGGAGTTAGCTAGCTGAGCCTAGGCTCCCAGCCAAGCCTCTCTCCTTCTGCTTTGGGCAGTTTGTGTACTTACTAACTTAGCAAGCCTTTATTAAGCACCTTCTGTGTATACTCAGGAGAGACCCTCCCTTAGAGAGAGGGATAACAGCAGAGACCCCTTGCAGCAACCTAGCATCCTGAAAGAGCTCTTGTTCTCAGAACCATTTCCTTTTTGACTGGAAGCACAACATCCGCTGGGGCGCACCCCCCCCCCCCC